CGTTCAGAAGCCTGCATCACTGATGGTATGGGGTTGCATGAGCGCTTGTGGCATGGGCAGCTTGCATGCCTGGAAAGGCACCATTAATGCAGAGAACTATGTTCAGGTTCTAGAACAACATGTGCTCCCATCTAGACATCTCTTTCAGGGAAGACCCTGCATTTTTCAACACAATAATGCCAGACCACATTCTGCAGCAATCACATCATGGCTACGTAGGAGAAGGATCCGGGTACTGAAATGGCCAGCCTGCAGTCCAGATCTTTCACCTATAGAGAACATTTGGTGCATCATAAAGAGGAAGGTGCGACAAAGAAGGCCCAAGACGATTGAACAGTTAGAGGCCTGTATTAGACATGAATGGGAGAGCATTCCTATTTCTAAACTTGAGAAACTGGTCTCTTTTGTCCCCAGATGTCTGTTGAGTGTTGTAAGAAGAAGGGGGGATGCGACACAGTGGTAAAAATGGACCTGTCCCAACTTTTTGGGGATTTGTTGATGCCATGAAATTTGTAACCAACAGATTTTTCCCTTAAAATGGTACATTTTCTCAATTTAAACTTTTGACATGTGATTTGTGTTCTATTCTGAAAAAAAAAATTAGATGATGGCACCTCCACATCATTGCATTCAGTTTTTATTCACAATTTGTTTAGTGTCCCAACTTTTTTGGAATCCTGTTTGTACTTTGTACAGGTCCTTCTCAAAAAATTTGCATATTGTGATAAAGATCATTATTTTCCATAATGTAATGATAAAAATGAAACTTTCATATATTTCAGATTCATTGCACACCCACTGAAATATTTCAGGTCTTTAATTGTTTTAATACTGATGATTATGGCATACAGCTAATGAAAACCCAAAATGCCTGTCCCAAAAAATTTGCATATTTCATCCCACCAATGAAAGACAAGTGTTTTTAATACAAAAAATGCCAACTTTCAAAATAATCATGTTTATTTATGCACTCAATACTTGGTCAGGAATCCTTTTGCATGAATGACTGCTTCAGTGCGGCGTGGCATGGAGGCAATCAGCCTGTGGCACTGCTGAGGTGTTATGGAGGCCCAGGATGCTTCGATAGCGGCCTTAAGCTCATCCAGAGTGTTGGGTCTTGTGTCTCTCAACTTTCTCTTCACAATATCCCACAGGTTCTCTATGGGGTTCAAGTCAGGAGTTGGCAGGCAAATTGAGCACAGTAATACCATGGTCAGTAAACCATTTACCAGTGTCCTGATGCATGCTCAATAATCCAGGTAGAAAATCTAAAAAAGTTAAATCTGGACATTCAAAAAAACAAAACAAAGCAAAACAACAAAAAATGTAGAAACGTTTCATCTCTCATCCGAGAGACTTCCTCAGTCTGAGGTGCTGTATTCAGCTCAATCTCTTAAATAGCACCTTCTCAGAGTGGATCAACCAGTTTTGCTGCTGACAACCAAAACCAGCTGATCACATGCTCAAGAAGGACCATCAGCCTAACAATGGATCATTAGCACACTGATGGCTGTTTACTATTCACAGAGGGCTGAGTGATACTAGCAATCACAGCATTGTAAGAGGGGGACAATTGAACATGTAGGCCTCCACCCCTGTTTAAGGATGGACGGTTTCTTTTCACAAAGATGGCCTCCTTTACTCTTCTCTCAAACCATCGTTCCTCTCTATCCACGATGTGAACATCTTCATCCCTGAAAGAGTGACCGCTGGCCTGGAGACGAGTGTAGACCGCAGAGTCCTGGCCTGATGATGTTATTCGTCTGTGCTGGGCCATCCTTTTGGCCAGTGGCTGTTTAGTTTCCCCGATGTAAGTCTGATCACAGCCCTCCTGACACTGAACAGCATACACAACATTACTCTGTTTGTGCCGGGGGACTGGATCTTTGGGATGAACCAGTCTTTGCCGTAATGTATTTTGGGGTTTAAAAGCCACTGGGATGTTATGTTTGAGACCTGAGAAGGTGCTATTTAAGAGACTGAGTTGAATACAGCACCTCAGACTGAGGAAATCTCTCGGATGAGAGACGAAACGTTTCTACATTTTTTGTTGTTTTGCTTTGTTTTGTTTTTTTGAATGTCCAGAGGACCAGATTTAACTTTTTTACATTTACCAGTAGTTTTGGCACTGTGAGCAGGTGCCAGGTCGTGCTGAAAAATGAAACCTTCATCTCCATGAAGCTTTTCAGCAGATGGAAGCATGAAGTGCTCCAAAATCTCCTGATAGCTAGCTGCATTGATCTTGCTCTTGATAAAACACAGTGGACCAACACCAGCAGCTGGCATGGCACCCCAGACCATAACTGACTGTGGGTGCTTCACACTGGACTTCTGGCATTTTGGCATTTCCTTCTCCCCAGTCTTCCTCCAGACTCTGGCACCTTGATTTCCGAATGACATGCAAAATTTGCTTTCATCTGAAAAAAGTGCTTTGGACCACTGAGCAACAGTCCAGTGCTGCTTCTCTGTAGCCCAGGTCAGGCGCTTCTGACGCTGTTTCTGGTTCAAAAGTGGCTTGACCTAGGGAATGCGGCACCTGCAGCCCATTTCCTACACACGCCTGTGCACGGTGGCTCTGGATGTTTCTACTCCAGACTCAGTCCACTGCTTCCGCAGGTCCCCCAAGGTCTGGAATCGGCCCTTCTCCACAATCCTCCTCAGGGTCCGGTCACCTCTTCTCATTGTACAGTGTTGTCATATCTTTGCAGATATTGCTATCAAAGTAGTGGTGATTCGGGTCATCACTTACTGAGGGTTTTTCCGCAGCTGGCGGATGGGTGGCAGGTACATCTTGTGTTCATTCCTGGCAGAGTGCCAGGTCGGTGCCCAAATGTGACTTCTTGTTTTGTCCGTAACAGATGTCTAGGTCAAAACTTTGAAGCGCCATGAGCCATTTGGCTACCCGTGAGTTTGTCACCACACCATCTCTGATGCGTTGGCTATTCAGGGAAGTTACTGGCTGGTGTTGTGTTTCAACAATTTTTTTTGTCCACCAATGTAACTGGAGAAGTGTTTAACTGCCCACACAGTGGTCAGTAGAGCTTTCTCACAGTCTGCGAACTTTAATTTGGGGCCTGCCATTGTCTTACTGGCGTAGGCCACCACACGCTTGTCTTTGTCGTGCATCTGGTACAGACCTGCACTCATGCAGTGAGCTGAGAAGCCCACTTCCAGGTGAAACTCTTTGTTGTAGTCTGGATAGACTAGACGTGGGACTGACTTGAGTCTGTCCCTGAGAGCATTCATTGCCTGCTGTTGGTTATAAGTCCAGACAAATGGGATGTCTTTCTTCAAGAGTTCAGTCAGTGGTTTCGCAAGGTCTACATAGTTCTCTATGAATTGGTGTGAGTAGTTACACACGCCCAGAAAACTTTGTAGTTCTCTGAGATTGGTGGGGACTTTGAGATTGTCTAAGCCTTGGGTGCGAGTCAATTGTGGTTGTACTCCGTCTGGACCTACTAGTAGGCCAACGTAGTCCACCTTGGACCTGCACCACTGGCATTTTGACAGTGAGATTTTAGCACCAGCAGTAGTCAGTTGATTCAGAACGTGGTCGATCTCAGCCAAGTGTAAGTCCAGTGTTGGCTGCCTCAAAAGGACATCGTCCACATAGATCAGAGTCCCACGTTCGTGGGCATCTGGACATGCTTTGTTCAAAAAGATGTTGAACTCAGCTTGTGAGTTAGCGTAGCCAAAGGGACACCTGATGAAGGTGTATTGTCGGCTACCAAAAGTGAAAGCTAGTTTGTGTTGGTCCTCGGCGCGCACAGGAATGGTCCAAAAACTAGAGGCGACGTCGAGGGTGGAAAAGTACTTACCATCGGTGACCTTGGGCAGTTCCTGTTGGATCTGGGTCATTGGCCACCTAGATAAAGGAACTTGTTTGTTTAGCTTTCTGTAATCTATGGTAAGTCTCCACTTACCATTTGGTTTCAAAACTGGCCATAAAGGCGCAGAGTAGGTGCTATTACAATGTCTGATTATGCCTTTATCTAAAAGGTCATCAATGATTTCCTTGACAGGTTGATGTGCTGCCAGGGGAATCTTATATTGTCTGACAAATGTAGGCGGTGAGCCTGGTGGAGTTGGGATGCTCACTGTGTGAAGCGAGGTCAACCCACAATCCATTGAGTCAGTCAAGAATGACTTCTCACATTTCATGAGAACTTGGCAGAGTTTATCCCTTTCTTCATCATTCGTCAGGGCGTCGGCTTGGGCGACCACCTGTTCAGTCTGTGAAGCGATTGCTAAGGGTTCATGATGTTTGGGGAGCTCCAGTGAGTCCCCTTTTGTGTCGACAGACCTGTCTATAGGTAAGACACTATAGGTTTGAGGTTCTAAATCGGCATCATTGGTTGAGAAGAGAGCTATGAGGTATGAGCACATCACACCAGTTCTGTCCTCCCTACACTGGCTTCCTGTGAGAACTAGGATTGATTTCAAAATTCTCCTCCTGACCTATAAGTACCTAAATGGCCTCGCACCCATCTACCTCTCTGAGCTACTGGAACCATATGTTCCCTCTCGGGCTCTGAGATCATCCGATCAGCTGCTTTAGGTTGTTCCACAGTTTGGGACCCATGACTGAAAACGCCCGATCTCCTCGGAGCTTCAGTCGTGTTTTTGGAACAACCAAAAGCAGCTGATCGGATTATCTCAGAGCCCGAGAGGGAACACACACATGTGACACGGATGACAATAAACTTGACTTGAACTTGATTATTAAAATCTATAAAGACGCAATTCTGTAAATGTGACACTTCATAAGTTTATTGTAACAAAGTCATGCTTGGAACAGGTTAAAGAGGTCCAGCAAAATATTAAAAGTAAAACTTTTTGAGCCTGGCTGACAGTGTAAAAAAAATATACCTGAAGATTAAAAAATTAGCAGTTTTCGTCATGTTAAAATTTGCACATTTATTTCGCCAACATTATTTTACATAAAACAACACACAAACGTGTTCGCTCACCAACATTCCCAGCAGTGGAGAACAACTCACCCATGCCTGAATGCAGTGAAGAAGGTGGTGTAAAAGTCCAGGCTGGGATCAGTGACTTCTTTGGGCAGTTTGCTAAGAAGCGGCATTAGATTTGGGTGAAGCGCTTTAGCCATGCCATTACCCCCCTCCTTTAATAAAACCCAAAGTTTAGGCAGGAAACCTTTTTTGGCATTTACATGTGTCCAGCAATCCTAAAACATAGGAAAAAACAAGACTATTAATTAGCACCAAACAGTGACTTAAATCTTTACACAGTTCTATTTCTTTATTTTGCTGAAGGTGTTGACTTTACTGTAATAACAGAGTGACAACATTAACGGAGCGCATCTGGTTTTATTGTACGTGTCACAGAAACTTACAGGGATTGTAGACACGACGTGAAGAACAGCTTCCCACGCAGGAGGCAGAACAATAGGATCTGTGTCGTCGATACTGAGGAGGACAGCAGGGCAGAGCCGTGCAGCTTCAGTTTGGACCAGAGCAGGACAGAACTCACACAGAGCGCACACCAGCTCAAAAAAGGCTCCTCTCACCTGAGAAACAACACAGGAGTTTGTCACCGTTACAGAGACGTACAAGTGACAGATTAGTGTTTTTCTTTCGGCTGCTCTCTTCTTCAGGGGTCGCCACAGCAAACTATCTCACATGAAGACATGGCAATTATTTTTACGCCGAATGCCATTCCTGACTCAACCACAGATTACTGCATCTAAATCAGGTGGTACTTGGTAACAAACACAACCATGTGATTTACCTTCTTGAATCGTTTACTCAAAACTAAACATTTTCTGCGATTACTTTAACAACACACAGATACATGCCAAGGTTACAAAAACATTTTGTAACCACTAGACTTCCGAAGCCCCCATCATTATTACCACAGTAAATCATTACCAATTATTAATTTATTTATTCAACAACTGATACAAAAAATATGTTTGCACTAGTACTGTTGCTGTGATTAGCTCTAGAGATAGCATTCTTTAGCAACAGAAAAATGAAATGGAAGTTCTCAGAATGATGCACATTTGTTCAATGGTTTGGTGATGCCAAAGTACCTGTGGCGCCTTGTGTTTACTGTACTTCCAGAACTTCCCGGACTTAAGCAGATGGTCCAGTCCAGGCTCCAGGGCCACCCGGTCGGTTTCAAGCAGCAGGGAAAGCAGTTTCTTAACTCCTAACATGGAACTGGTCAACATGCGCACATATTTTGCTTCTCTCTCTTCCTCTGTCACACTTCTAAAGAACAGGTGGAACAAAAGCGTCAGTAAAACCTCCTAAAGATATTACTGTAATAATAAAGAGACGGGAATAAGCACAGAAATCCTAAAAAGTGAACTCATTACATACTGTGGATCACTGAGCGTGTCTGCTGTTTCTTTTAACAAAATGTCTTGAAGCACCTGTGGGAAAAAAAACAACACATCAAATGTAGCTCTGAATCTAACGGTAAAACGACCTTCTCTACACTAAAGCGAACACCTCTACTTACATTAAGGATCTCATCCTTGCAGAAGCTGAGAGCCTCAGGCTGTTTGATGGGGGAGAAAGCAGCTTGGAAAGCCCGGCCCGCAGCAGAGGCTGCAGGTGTGTACGTGTCACATTGGGACAGAATCCAGTGGCCCATCAAACTCTTCAGAAAGGGGGCTAAGCTGCGACGCACTTTTAGCACCAGCTGCTCAAAGGCCAGCTGGGTGGCCTCTCTGATTCGCCGATCGTGATCCTAACAGACATAATAATAAAGTACATTCATAAGACAGCTACCTACTGTACCTCCAGAAGAGTCCACACATGTAAAAACTGATGCCCTTGAGAAATAATTTCACCGATGCTCAAACAGCTTACCACAGATATTTTGCAGTAAATTCTTGGCCAGTATGGGAGGACTCCTTTCACGTCTTCAGCATCCCGCTCCTGACACATGGACCCAAAGTCCTGCACAGCCTGAACAAAACAAAATAACACTTTATTCATAGCCACCTTTCTTAACACTTCGCTACACTACTACTTTACTGTAAGTGGTTGTGTCTCAGGAAAGCCACATGCTGGAGGATAATATTTATGTCTTTGTAAGACATTATCATATCGTATGTTTGTCTCTACAGTGTATCTTTGTGACATTTATTTATTTTAAGGTAGTTTACAGTAGCTGAAGTTGCAGCTCACTTTCAGTCTCGTGACAACATCCCTCTTTGAAAGTTTCCTGAGCACCAGGCGGAAATCAGCTTCCACCAGGTTGTCTATGTCCTCGGCTCCGTGGACAGCTGGGACGTAGCTCAGCTCAGAGGTCACCGTGGTGTCGAAGCCCACGAAGCCCGGGATGACGCCGCCTTCCCGGGTCAGAACCTCAGCAGCTCGACCGCTACTGGATGGCTGGTTCGGGAGAAGAAACGCATACAAGAACAATGTCAGACAGACATCTTATTATCACACAGGTTGGTCACACGTTGCCTTCAGCTGACAGCTTGAAGTTATTAGCTTGTGCTAACTAGTTAGCTGCTAACCCTCTGTCTTCAACTTTAACGACGCGGTACAAATATTGTTAGTGTCTTACCCGAACATTTCCTTTAGTTCGCTGTTTGTTCTTACCGCCCATGCCTATATCGTTTTATTTAAACTAAATGTGTCCACAAAAAAAAATGTTCTCAGCATTGTTCATGATAGCGCAACAAAGCAAAAAAACTCGGAAGGGGGCGGGACTAATCAACGTCATTTTAGACCTTCGTTAAAATGGGAGAAAATCATGCTCTGTACAAAAGTGCCTGTCTGGGGTCAAGAAAGAAGATTTTGATTTACAAAGTGTATATATTTGTTTCCCTGAATTACAAAAGTCGCGGGTGTAGCAATTTTAAATCAAGATTATTATTAATTAAGAACATCCGTAGATCAGAAAATTCGATCTTAAGTCACGATTGAATTTTACAACCTGAATTTAAAACTTCCGAGTGAGAAGCGAACGTTACACAAGAAATGGACTTCCTTTTTACATCTTTCAAAATAAATTTGTTGGTCGAAACTACTAGTTTAAATACCTAAAAATAAACTTAACGATGCCCTTTATCAAAAAAACTAAACTAAATTAAAAAAAAAGAAAGATAAGAACAGTTACTGAAAAGCAAAAATAAGCTGAAAACAACTAAAGGAGAGACTATAATCCCAAACTGCCTTCTGAGCATCCTGCAGTGCAGTTATATGATGTAGTCAAGGAAATTATTCATTTATAGATGAGATAAAACTTTGTTTTAATGGTTTATGGAATTTAAAAAAATTAATTCAACCTTTATTTAGACAGGTAAATCCCATTGAGCCTCGAGGACTCATTTACAAGAGAGACCTGAAATACTAACCTACATCCATCCATTATCTTTACCTGTATCTTCCTTTTCGGGTTGTGGGGGGTCACTGGTGCCCATGTCCAGCCATTACTGTGCGAAAGGTGGGGGACACCCATGGCAGGTTTCCAGTCCATCACAGGGCCACTTAGAGACAAATGAGACAAACAACCATTCACTCTCACTCACACCTAGATTTTTTATTTTTTTTTAAATAAATATTTTTTCACCAAGTTAATAGACTAGCACACAGATTGCAGACAAAAAACACAAGAAAAAGAGACTGAAAACTTTCAAAACGTTAAGTTTTATTTTTCTATATGAAAACTTGTATTTTATACAATGGACACAAAAAGTGGACAGATTACTGGTGTCTCACACACAGAGAAATTCAGTGGATTAAGCTTTTAAAATGACTAAATTTGTGGCAAAATTGATCCCACTGTGCAGCAATAACTGCAACTAAATGTTTCCAGTAACTGTTGATCAGACCTGCACACACACTTGGAGGAAGTTTAGTCCATCCCTCCGTACAGAACAGCTTCATCTCTGGATGTTGGTGGTTTCCTCACATTAACTGCTGCTTCAGACCCTCTCCCAACCACCTGTGTATTTTGTTGTGTAATTTTCAGTTGTTTCCTACTATGAAGATCATGTTTGGCTAAAGCTAAGAGGAATTTCAAATGAATGCAGAATTTTGGTGTAAAACTGACTTTTAAATTATCTTCCAGAAAAATGTGTTTAACAATTATAAAATTAGTTTGATGTAGCCTTTGTGCCCCTTTAACTGGAGTTAAATGTGAACATTTGATTACTCCGTCGCTGAACCTGAACTTCCCTTCAATCAAACACGAAGTCTTCGAAGTTCAGCATAAAGTCTTTTTTTTCAAGTTAAGATGCCAACAACAAACTATTCAACAGACTGTATGGAACATCATGTTTTATTATTTGTTGCGTCTGTTCAGAATTGTACATAGTTCTGCATAAATTTGACCTAAAACATCAGATTTTCACACAAACCTTAAAAGTAGATAAAGAGAACCCAGTTAAACAAATGAGACAAAAATAATATATTTTGTCATTTATTTATTGAGGAAAATGATCCAATATTACATATTTGTGAGTGGTAAAATTATGTGAACCTTTGCTTTCAGTATCTGGTGTGACCCCCTGTGCAGCAATAACTGTAACTAAATGTTTCCAGTAACTGTTGATCAGTCCTGCACACACACTTGGAGGAAGTTTAGTCCATTCCTCCGTACAGAACAGCTTCAACTCTGGATGTTGGTGGTTTCCTCACATTAACTGCTGCTTCGTGTCCTTCCACAACATCTGGATTGGATTAAGGTCAGGACTTGGCCATTCCAAAACATGAACTTTATTCTTCTTTAACATTCTTTGGTAGAGCAACTTGTGTGTTGAGTCATCGTCTCGCTGCATGACCCACCTTCTCTCGAGGTTCAGTTCATGGACAGATGTTCTGACATTTTCCTTTAGAATTCTCTGATACAATTCAGAATTCATTATTCCATCAATGATGGCAAGTTGTCCTGGCCCAGATGAAGCAACAGGCCCAAACCATGACACTACCACCACCATGTTTCACCGATGGGATAAGGTTCTTCTGCAGGAATGCAGAGTTTTTCTTTCTCCAAATTTAACACTTTTCATTTAAACCAAAAAGTTCTATTTTGGTCTCATCCATCTTCAAAACATTCTTCCAACAGTCTTCTTGTCCACGTGATCTTTAGAAAACTGCAGACGAGCATCAACGTTCTTTATGGAGAGCAGTGTCTTCCTCCTTCAACCCTGCCATGCACACCATTGTTCAGTGTTCTCCTGATGGTGGACTCATGAACATCAACATCAGTCAATGTGAGAGAGATCTTCAGTTGTTAGAAGTTACTCTCTGGTCCTTTGTGACCTCACAGACTTTACACACCTTGTTCTTGGAGTGATCTTTGTTGGTCCATCACTCCTGGGGAGGGTAACAATGGTCTTGAATTTCCTCCATTTGTACACAATCTGTCTGAATGTGGATTGGTGGAGTCCAAACTCTTTACAGATGCTTTTGTAACATTTTCCAGCCTGATGAGCATCAACAGCTCTTTTTCTGAGGTCCTCAGAAATCTCTGTGTCATGATATACTTCCACAAACATGTTGTGAAGAGCAGACTGTGATAGATCCCTGTTCTTTAAATCAAACAGGGTGTCCACTCACACCTGATCATCATCCCATTGTTTGAAAACACCCGACTCTGTCACCTTCAATTTAACTGCTAATCCTAGAGGTTCACATATTTTTGCCACTCACAAATATGTAATACTGGATCATTTTCCTCAATAAATAAATGGCCAAGTATAATATTTTTGTCTCATTTGTTTAACTGGGTTCTCTTTATCTACTTTTAGGGCTTGTGTGAAAATCTGATGATGTTTTAGGTCAAATTTATGCAGAAATATGGAAAATTCTAAAGACTTCACAAACTTTCAAGCACCTCAGTACACGTGTTCATATATCCAGAATAACATGCCAGTTTGCTGCTCCTCTACAGTGACATGGAGATAAAACTCCGACAGGCTGCATGAACACGATGTTTGCTGCAGTATACAAGCTACAGAATGACGTTTGAACCTGTCTGTCAAAAGTTTTAAAGGCATCAGAATAAATTTAAAAAAAAAAATATTTACATTGATAACATCTAACCTCCAAATATTTTTAAACCAGTAAGTTTTGTGTGTAAAATATTTTCATTTCGTTTCACCAATAAACAAACAGGCTTCCTGTACTTCCTTCGATGGATATTAGTGTTTTAATATGATAGGATTTTAATCATTATTTAAGTTTTTAAATCTAGTATATATCCATTAATGTGGCTATCTTTAATAAAATAAACTATTTGTTGTAAAATAAATAATTCACTTAATTTTATACAAGTTAGATTAAGGGAAGCAAAAATGTTCAATGTTTAATTTTAATTAAATGTCTATTATGTGTCACCCGTTTTTCCTCATAGATCACAACGTAAAAGCATGTGTTTCTTAATAATCAGTCAGTTAAACCCTCTGATTTAAATATATATTAAAAACTATTAAAATGTGTTTTTTAATATTTCTACTTCTGAGTCACTCAAATCAGTCACATTTGTGGTGATTTCAAATGTAAAGACAAGAAAAACTAACAAAGATATCCACTCTGACAGAAGTGAAACCGTTAAAAGCAAGATGGACTTTTAACAAAAGTAACAATGCATGTTTTTTAAACTTTTACAGAGATTCAGAAACAGGTCGTTCTGCTACATTATGTAATTAAAATGTCTCCAGCAATGTTTAATTCACTCACCGATTGGAATGCAAACATTCAAACAGCAATGTGTGCAGTCACAGAAATCAACGAGGATGTTAGTTAAATCTGACGACATTATGAATACAAATTTTAAAAGGAATGTGTTTGTATTATATGCAGTAACTTAAAAAAAAAGTCTAATAGAAACTGCTACTGGGTGAACTGAAGCAGTTTCTACTTGAATTAATCCTCCCAGCTGAAAACCGATGTTTCATGTTAACATCTGCATTAATATTTTCTGTCCATTCCTATTGGAGTTTTCATTAATGTAAAAAAAAAAAAAAAAAAAATGAAATTGAGCTCAGATTCTAACATCTTGCTGTGAAAGGGCACAAGTTTAACCATTTAACGTTTATAAATCAAATAAAAAAATACAAATTTCTAACTATTAAACTCAGTTTTTAAGGCTTTTAACAAACTAGATGGCGTCTTAAAGCTGTAATCGTTATGAAACGTGACACAGTAGATTTTAATCTGGAGAATCTTTCTTCAGGAATGTATTTTTTATTGGTACCACTTGACAATAAGGCTCCCCTTATAGATGGCTAATAAATAGTTATATATGTTATTAACTCCTCTTTATAAATCAATATCAACTGCTTATTATGCATTAATTAAGGGTGACGGAGACAAAACTGAGCAGTTTCTTGTCAAAGTGAGTGAGCCACATCTGTTCACTTCATCTAGAGTTGTTATATTAAACATTTCAGACTAAGTTACTACCTTGTAAGCACAATAAGCATTTGTAAATTTGTAAATTTCTTTAGCAAATAATATTGTACTTTATCACTGCAGTTTAAGTATCAACTAATATTACATATATAGGTGAACAGGTTTGGCTCATCATTTGACAAAAAACTGGTCAGTTTTGTCTCTCTGTCATCCTTAATTAATGCATAATAAGCAGTTATTAATGATTTATAAAGTGTTTATATTAATAATGCATCTATAAACTATTCATTAGCCATCTATAAGGGGAGCCTTGTGGTAAAGTGGTACCCAGCAGGAACTTCCTTATGACCTAAAAACTAAAGTTTAATTGGTTTTATGTTGACATCATAAAAGAAGTGTGTACTCAGACCCGTTATCTGGGTCTTAGGATAGAAAGGTGAAAGAAGGGAGGTGGGCTGGATTTATTTATTTGTATTTATAATGTCTTTTGCAGATTCATGACTTCCCCAGCTTCAATATATTTGTAATTTTTAACAAAACGATATGTTTTAAATGCAGTCATGTATATATTTGTATAAACCAGTTAGCTGTAAGTGGAATAGTTCAGCTCCACAATGAACGCTCTGCGCTGCGCCCATCCTGTTTCTCCCGGGCGGTTAAAGGTACTGAACAGTTGGAAAATCTTCAAGTCACTTTGAAAGAACCTAACTGTTTTCTACTGAGGCAGACCCCTCTGAAGCCTGATCTCAAGTCACCCGAGCTGGACGTCACCTCCAGGTGGAAGCACCGTTTGTCCGAGCACTGTGGCGTGCAGAGGGTCCAGTTTGGGCACAAAGCCTTTAAAGTTCCTGGATGCATGAGTCCCGAACACATCAAGCAACTCCCTGTTCATCAGAGCAAATCTACACAGAGAAAGAGAATAAGCTGTAAATAATATGAAGAAAACTTAACTCAAACTCAAGTCTTTTTGCAGCATGTAGTCCTACCTGCCCTTAGTTAAACGCAGGAGGAATTTCCAGTATGAAGGCCGGAGGTTCTGCACTTCCATCACTGCCTGAGGACACGTAATGAGTCAAACGTAGGGTTAATCTGGCATCTGAAGCATATTAATGTTAGTCTGAGTGGAAATAATTACTTACGGCCTGGAAACAGATAGCTGTAGAAACGGCATAAATAACTGTGTCTGCATGAGGAAAGTACGGGAAGTGGCCAGCCTCAATCCCTTTGAAGTACATGGTCTGAAAATAGAGATTGGATGTGTCGTTAATGATGAGAGATACTGCAACATACAATTCAACAGTACAACTCACTCTCCACCCAGTGCTGCTGAAGCTGCTGCTGCTAAAGTCACTGCAAGGACCAGTTCAGATTTACATATTTCTATCAAAATACCAGTGTTGAGCATAAAAAAAATAAACTAGAGGTGAACTCAGAGGAGGACTGTTACATAATGAAAAGTCTGTTGTAGCACTGCTGGTATGGGATTTGAACTGTCTGCATTTACTGAGGATCAGAGTGCAAAGACACACTTTGTGTTTTTACAGCTACTGGGTCCTTTTCACAACAAGTACTGAAGCTCAGTCCAATCACTGTATCCACTTTTACAAAGAATGCTGCTCTAAGCTCCAGTTCTAAGGTCAGATGCAAAGAAGTAAGTGGCTACTGACGCAGGACCAGCACTTGAACCACTAACACCACCTATATGTGTTTTATATGTGTGCCACCTTAAACAATCAGGGTCCTCTGCTCTTGTCCCAGAACCAGACAGAACAGGAAAACCTCTGAGGGCCACTGTAAATGTCTGGATGGGTTTAAAGTGTCCCCAGAACAAGAAAGAAAACCACAACAAACTATGAACTTTGAATCTATGTTTTATTATGAGACAAGGTTATAAACAGTCAACATCTTACCTGTTGTGGATAGCTTTTTGAACTAGCTCTGTTTGAAGATTAAATCTGGCCTGTAAGACAAACTGATGACTAACCTGGGCAGTTGAAAAGTTTCAGAGCGTTTCTTTGGAGTTCTGTCTTATAAACTTTTACATCACCATCAGTTATCTGTACATGGTCATTTAAATATTTATATGATCATTTGAAAGTGCAAAAAGCAACAGCAGCAGCTAGCTGTAGTAGAGCCGTCATTTCTAACCGGAGCCCACGCCCAGCCCGACCCAAAATTAAGGCCGGGTCGGACCAAAATAATGTGCTGGATGGGCGAGCTGGGTCGGTGGCGGGCTTTTGATTGCATCAGCAGACGCGCACGGCTGGTGATCCAAATTGGATCGTCAGCCGCGTGCGCCTGCTGACCATTAATAACTATAATATTATAATAACTATAATAATCCACTGACTCTTGTTAATAAACAAGAATTCTTATATCTTCCTTTCTTTGAAATACGTTTTTAAATCATGTCAACCTGATTTGCTTACAAAAGCAGTAAAAGCTTAATTAAAAAAAAAAACAATAATAAAAAGTCTTTTTTTTTTCCCAGGTCTGGGCCTGTAATCACAGTTACCGGTAATTGGTCAATTTCGGGTCGAGCTTGGAAAAACTGATACAGGCCGGGTCAAATTTTTTAGGCCCGAATGCAACTCTAAGCTGTAGCACGTCCTGTGCATTCTGGGGCTCTTCCTGCGGGAATATCTTAATAATTCTGCCATAACAATAATTTATTGTAAAACTAACAGCAATAAAAAAATGTTTAGTGATTTGTTTTTAGGATTGTTATAAGACAGCAGTCCACTTTGGTCTTGGCCCATTTCAGACTAGCCGTTAGCTCGTCAATCTAGTCAGAAATAATCTATTTCTACAAACTGAAGTCAATCAAACAGTTATCTGCAACAGGTAAGATATTAGCTGTTCATAAGCTTTCCAATAAAACCCACATGTTTAAAATAAAAAATAAAAAACCTACCCTTTTAAGACACGTCAGGACATCAGTCAGTTTCATGTTACAGTACTAACACACAGTTTAAAACAATTTAAACTGTTTTTACTTCAGTGACTTTCTGTCTGGCCATGCTGAATGCAGGCAGACAAACCTCAACTAAAGTTTGTACAAATCTCTTGGGATTTTTTCTTCATTGCAGATGTTCCTGATTTTGAGATTTTAATGTGTTTACTTTCAAAGTAACCACTCTTCTACAACCAGCAGCACTTGTTTCTGTAAATCAATCTACTTTTCCCCTTCATGTGTTGGAAACTCTTACCTCCACCAGCTTAGAGAAGAGATACATGGTTATAGATGTGCTTTTGTAGAAAAACATTGAGATACCAGCCAGGAAGCCTTGAATAGATTAAAAACAGAAGACAGCTGTGTCATAGCAGTAAACCCATTATAAAATCTCAGAGATTGCTCTGCAGGGATTATATTCATTTGTTCATACCAGCTATCAGTGCATGGAGCTCATCATCTATGTTACGCACCCAGCGCAACAAGCAGCTTGTTCCCTAAGAGGAGAACAAACACAGATTTCAAATGATTTCACCTTGGACTAAGACAGGAAGTTCAAGTCAGGGTCTGAGAAGAGAGACTTCAGCATTAAGCCCAAACAGTGCCATCAACAAGTACCGGTAAAGCTTGAGCACTGAACATACCTTATAAATACTGACAAAAGAGCCTAGAAAGGCTCCAAGTTGGAAGTTCTCTTTGTTGTAGAAGACGGAGGGCAGACACGAGGGTTTGGAGAACATCTGCCTGAAGGCTGAGGGAACTTTAAGACAACACTGGATGAGGTAGCCGATACTGAACATCCTGATAAAACCCTGGGAGGAAAACAACTTGATGAAAACTCAGCTCTAAATCATCTGAGTACTACAAATCCATCATCAGATGAAAGAAACTACAAATCACGAGTGTTTCTTTTACTTTGACACAGTAGGAAATGCAGTTGTCCTGGTAATGTTTACAACATCTGTGCCTTGGACCCCTTTTGCATCTGAATAATTCAAAAGACAAGCAGCGCGAGTTAAACCTGGGCGCCTGTCTCCATCAGTTTGTGTACTTGAAGGTGTGTTTTCACTCACAGGGACCTCAGCAGCTCCCTGGTGTAGGCCGTCACAGTTGTCCTCCTGAGGCTGAGCCGTTCTGCTGATGTCTGTAAACACTCGCTCTCTACAGCAGCCGTCCTCTCGAGGCGACTTGTGCCGAGAGTTTCTGCCACGTTAGAATGAGTTGGAATCTCTTCTTTCCCAATAATGAACCTGTGACAGGACATTCACCTTTTCAATCAAACACTCCGACACTCTGACATCAGCAAAAACAGGAAGTGTCGACTTACTTTAATGCAGAAAACGCAAACCCTTTGAGACCATCTTTACTCCTGCAGCATACAAATAGAGCTTCAATTGTAGACATCCACATTATTATATATGGCGGTTACATTTTAAAGTTCTGACCTGAAGAGGAACATGAAGATTGATGCCGTTATGGAGAACAGCAGCACCTGACGGGAGGCACAGTGAGAAACAAAACCAGATTAAATGTCCTAAATTGAATTTTATCTGTAAAAAGAGGTTATTTGTTGATTTGAATGGATTTATTCTCATTATTCTACCTCAAATATATTCCATAACTTTTATATTATTGTAGTGATAATGAAGGATAATTTGTTGTCGTGTTAAATTTGCTTCAGACATTTTCATGCTCTCGTAACGCAACGTGACTTTCTGTCAGACTCACTGACCCAAACTTTCACTGAGGCTTACCTCGCCATGTTTGATGGGTCTGACGAGACCTCGAGTCACCGCCATGCGGAACAAAGTCTCGCTGGCCTGAAAACAACAGCATTAGAAGAAATAAACAAAGAGGAACATGTTAGAATAAATTAACACTGCAGGGTAATAAATCAGATGTACTGTTGCAGCAGAGATAAAAAGTTTTCCTTCAAATTAAAAGACTCACAAGATTGGCCATGTATATTGTCAGAAGCCCTCTCCTGATGGGGATAAAAGACAAGCATTTCATTTTTAAATACATAAAATCAATTATGTAAAAGCAAGTACATGATAAAATTATAGACTACGGCTATTCAATTAAACTGCTCAGGAGGCCACAGTTTCTGAAAGCCAGCAGCTCAGGGGCCGGACATCCAGCGAATAAAGTCATTACGTAAATAAATCAAGTATTACAATGATCTGTTACCTTTTAAATTTGTTTATTTTATTTTATTGCATTGAATCATAAATGAAATAAACAGAACCCAAAACCCAATACCAAAAAAAAATAATTATGACGTCACCCATGGGCCACCAATTGAATAGCCCTGTTATAGACCAAAAGATGTCTTTCAATTCAAGAGTTTTAAATTAAAATAATACAATGAGAAGAGATGAAGTTCAGCTACTACCACACCAAACTCATCCGAGTAGCTGTAAAACTCAATTAGCTGTGGCAGCCATCTTAAATCAGACTGACTTCCAAGTTATTCAGTTGTAGAAGAAATCTCCAATGAGTTTCACTAAAATCTGTCATGTAGTTCATGATATTTTGCTAACAGACAATGTGTAGTGCTTGAAGTATATATTGGGAATAACTCAGCTAATACCACACCAAGTGTTAGTTTAATATCTGTAAAACTGACTGAGTTGTAGAGGTTTCTGTGTACACGCCTCGGCAGCAAGCGGTTTTAACAAAACACATACAAGGTTCTTAAAAACTGGTGCTTTCTCTGTTTCTACAAATTTGAACAATCATGATCTGTTTTACTTGTTTTCTGACATTGATGATAAAACAACATTGGGGTATGAGAGCTCACCTGCTCTTGCGTTCCAGGAGGATGGCCAGGTAGGATGCAGGCAGCGCTGCACCAAACCCAGAGGACCATGAGTAGAACCCCCCCAACAGCTTCCTAAAGTGACACAAAATACAGAAATATATTCTGTTTTCTGGTTGGACTGTTAATATTTCTCTAATAGGGATCTTCAACTTTTAGATTCAATGCATTACAAAATTAATTTTTTAGTCAAATAAAGTCATTACACTGACTCATTGCTCTCCTAATTGGATTAAATCTGAATTGATTTTTTGACAAACCATCTGGTTAGATAGCTTGATGCATGCTCAATAATCCAGGTAGAAAAATCTAACAAAGCTAAGTCAGGTCCTCTGGACGAATAACTGTCCTCTGGACCGTCCATCTTTAAACAGGGGTGGAGGCCTCCGTGTCCAACTGTCACCGTCTTACAATGATGTTATTGCTAGTATCCCTCAGCCCTCTATGAACAGCAAGCGGCCATCAGGGCACTAACGATCGTTAGGCTGATGGTCTTCCTTTATCATGTGAACAGCTAGTTCTGACTGTCACCAGCAAACTGATTGATCCGTTACAAGATGGGACTATTTATAAGACTGAGTTCAGTGCAGCTCCTCAGACTAACAAAGTCTTTGGGATTAAAGACGAAACGTTTCAACAGTTTAAAAAAAATAAATAAATAATAATAATAATAATAATAATAATTTAATCTGTCCAGAGGACCTGACTTAACTTTGTTAGACATCTGGTTAGATAAAAATCTAATGCATAACAATAAATCTAATGCAAACATTTCATTTTCCATTCAAAGTGTCCTTCAAAGTGGGAGTAAAGTTTTGGAGAGGTTATGATGAGCTCAAAGGCAGAACCTTCTGGGTCACCACGGTGGTTTTCTTGACAAAAGCATAAAACAACTCATAATGTCCATTTACTAACGCTACAAGAAGCCATTTATGGCCCTTGTTCTGCACTAAAATCAAAGTAATGTATGTATTCTTTGAAGGACTGAATATAAACACATTTTTGTTAAAGAGATCCATTTAATTTTTTATTATCGTAAGAAAAAGTCTTCAGGATGAATAACTTGTTATATTTATTTATTTATTTGAACATTTGTGTGTTCTATAGTTATGTCAGAATGTATTGTGAAACATATTAAGATGCCTCAGATTCCTAACAGGTAAATATTTATAACTAAATCAAACTGGAGCCCCTCCAAGCTTATGTGAAATTTTTATTTGTCCATTCATTAGTTAAATGGACTAACGGCTTGTCTTTCATGTAAAGGTTCAGTTTTAATTTGTTCCAGTGAGCAGCATGTCGTGGTCGTCTGCTAACCTGAGGATGCAGAAGAACACGATGTAAAGACCTCCATTGGTGGTCAGGAACGATGTGGACCTCAGGATCTCTGGGAGAAGCCTTTTTAAATAATAATCCTTCTTCCTCCTCCGTAGAATGGCTGCTATCTGCATCACACAGTTCAGGCATGGTCAGAGTGTTGGCATACGTGTCCAAACATCATAAAAATATATCATACTGAACTTTAAATATTGAGTCAAAGAGTTAGCCAACACTGATAAATGTGATTATTTTAGATAGTACCACTCAGCAAAAACTCTAGACTAACAAAGATCATTTTATTACTTTACTATGAGAAACGTTCACAAATTTCTACATTTTAACTGATCTACGTGATCAGTGGTTGTGTTGGTTCAGTCCAGTTCTGATGAACGGACACGTTAGAAAACCTCTGAAAGATGCTGCAGGAAGATCTGATGTGAGCCATCAGGCTGGACAGTACACCGGCTTTAAATTCAAATCACAAATTTTCTTCAAATCTTTTTCCTGGCAGCTGCATTTCTAACATCCTCCTACCAATATACCAACTGTCCCTCCTCTGGGCATGTCCAAACCATCTCAGCGTGGCCTCTCTAACTATCTCCCAGTTGTTCAACCTGTGCTGTACCTCTGATGATCTCATTCCTAATCTTATCCATCCTTGTCACTCCTAAGGAGAACCTCAACATCTTCATTTCTGCCACTTCCAGTTCTTTATCCTGTCTTTTTGTCAATGCCACTGTCTCCAGACCATAAAATATAGATGGTCTCACAACTTTCTTGTAAATGAGACCCTTTTATTGCAAATCACTCCTGAAACTTTTCTCCATCCACTCCATCCTGCCTGGACTCTCTTTTTCACTTCTTTACCACACTCCCCATTTTCCTGGATAGTGGACCCAAGTACCTGAAGTCCTGCACCTTTGTGACCTCTGCTCCTTGTAGTCTCACTGTTCCACCAGCCTCCCTCTCATTCACACATGTACTCTGTCTTACTACAGCTGATCTTCATTCGTCTTCTTTCAAGTGCATACCTCCACCTCTCCAAGTTCTCTTCCACCTGTTCCTTGTTCTCACCACAGATCACAATGTCATCTGCAAACATAGTCCATGGGGATTCCTGCCTGAACTCATCTATTAGTCAGTCCATCACCAGAGCAAACAAGAAGGGGCTCAGAGCCAATCCTTGATGCAATCCCACCTCCAACTTGAAGCTATCTGTCACTCCTACAGCACATCTCACCACTGTCCTGCTGTCCTCATACATGTCCTATACCAGTCTAACATACTCGTCCTCTGCCACTCCAGATTTCTTCATACAATACCACACCTCCTCCCTCGGCACCCTGTCATATGCTTTTTTTTTTTTAATCCACAAAGACACAATGGAGTTCTTTCTGACCCTCTCTGTACTTCTCCATCAGCATTCTCAAGATGGCATCTGTGGTGCTCTTTCTTGACATGAAAACATACTGCTGCTCACAAATTGTCACCTCTCGTCTAAGTCTAGCTTCCACAACTCTCTCCCAGATCTTCATTGTGTGTCTCATCAACTTAATTCCCCTGTAGTTGCTACAATTCTGTACATCACCCTTGTTCTTAAAAATGGGCACCAGCACACTTCTTCTCCATTCCTGAGGCATTTTCTCACCCTCAAATATGCCATTGAATAATTGAGTCAAAAACCTCAATGCCATCTCTCCAAGACATTTCCAAACCTCCACTGATATGTCATCAGGTCCTACTGCCTTCCCTTCTTCATTCTTTTCAGAGCTTTCCAGACTTCACCCTCACTAATCTTTCCCACGTCCTGGTCCACAGTTTCTATGGCCTCTACTCTTCTTTCTCTTTCATTCTCTTCATTCATTTGCTTTTCAAAGTACTCTTTCCACCTTCCCATCACACTCTCCTTAATTGTTAGAACATTACTGTTCATATCTTTAACAAGCCTAACCTGCTGCACATCCTTTCCAGCCTGATCCATCTGTCTTGCCAATCTATGCAAGTCCTTCTCACCCTCTTAAGTGTCCAGCCTCCCATACAACTCATCATACACCTTCCGCTTTGCCTGATCTACCTCCCTCTTTGCTCTATGTCCCATCTCCTTATATTCCTGTCTCCGTTCTTAAGTCCTCTCACTGTCATATTTCTTCTTGGCTAATCTCTATCTGAAGGTAGTAGAAGGTCTGATGTTAAATGTTGTCAGTGGTTATGTGCCACAGGTTGGATGTGATGTGGAGAAGATACATTTTAGAAGGATCTGGATGAAGTGATAGAGAGTATTCCCAGGGAGGAGAGAGTGGTGATCGGAGCAGACCTGAATGGACATGTTGGAGAAGGAAATGAGGAGGTGATGGGTAGGTTTGGTGTCAAGGAGAGAAAACAGGAAGGACAGATGGTGATGGATTTTGCTAAGGGAATGGAAATGGCTGTAGTCAACACTGATATAAAAAATGTTTTATAAGGTGTGAAGTTGCCTTTATGCCTATTCAAACATATATATTTTGTGTGTGTTACTTATTCAGAATTAAATGTCTAAAATTGCCATAAAAGCAAGGGTGGAATGATATAGAAATTATTATTTTAATGCTTTTATGTCAATCTAGACCTATATTACACTTATTTAAACACACTTATACAACGTGTTATTCACATATTAGGGATTGTATTTTGTATTATGTTTTATGAGGTGTTGGGTCGCCTTTATGCCTGTTCAAACATATACTTTGTGTGTGTGTTGCTTATAATATTTAGACACTCTTTGATGGTTTGCAGAAGGGACGGAGGGGTGCTCTTTAGGAAAGCTTTAATAAGCATTAGGAGTGCTCTTGACCTGGAAGCTTTGGCCCGCTTTTACGGTCACAGGCGCTCCTTACTGGAAGGATGAGCCATCGCTTTGATGATGGTTTAATTAGATCCGTTGTTCTGGTAACCATCAAACTTGTTTTGCACTGCTCTCACGCGATCCGGTCAGGGAAGAAAGTATAAAGGAAGTGTGACAGGCAACTTAATCTTTGGAAGTCCTGTGATGGATCAGCCACGCGCTGGTGCCATGCGCCATTTTTGATGTGATTCTTCTTTACCTGGGTCGAAAACGACTTCCCGGCCAGTGTCACGGTGAGAAGTTATTTCATATCAATCTGTGTGTTAAGAGTGTACATGTTTTTTGCTTGGCTGTTTTCTGTGGCAGGATAATAAAGGACACTTATTACTCCTAGCAGTAACAGCTTCCTCTGTGTTTTATTTTTCCTTCTGGTCTGAATATCTGTGCCGACCGTTTCACGAGCCCTTTTGATAAAGAATTTCATAATACAAACACAAATTTCCAAAAGAGGTGTCATCTGGACAGAGAATGAATGATAAGGAAACCTGGTAGTGGAATAGTGAAGCGTAGGACACTATTCATAGGCACATCACCCTATACTGACACTCTTTTCACCTCTACTACATTCTTTGCCAACTCCTCCTTCAGGACCACCCCTTTTCATTTTCTCTTTTTATCCACACCATGGTAAAACAGTTTGAACCCTGTTCCAATGCTCAAAGGCTGGCTGCCCTTCCACTTAGTCTCTTGGACACATAAAACATCTACCTTCCTTCTCGGCATCATGTCATCCAGCTCTCTACCTTTGCCAGTCATTGTCCCCACATTTAGAGTTGCAACCCTCAGTCCTACATTCTTGACTTTCCTCTTCTCCCTCTGTCTCCTGACACGTTTCCCTCCTCATGGTCTTCGACTAACAGTAGCACAATTTCTGCCGGCGCCCTGTTTGTCAACAGTACCTATGGCGGTCGTTTTTAACCCAGGTCTAGACCGATCTGGTATGGTTTCGCCTTGATAAACTTGCGATAAAGTTTTGGCATTGGATGCCCTTCCTGACACAACCCTCACCATTTATATTTCCATTGGGAGCTCCCTAGTGGCTGATTTGCACACTAAACTATTAATTGACAAATAATACAGCTTTTTTGTTTGTTTGTTATGGTTTATCAAATGGACCACTCAAAAGATGCATTTAATGCTCATTGAGAACTGAAAAGGTGAAATATATAAACATGTACAACTCAGTCAGTGCTGCACATAAGAGCCAAAATAAATGCTTCATACTCAACATTATGTATGAACCACAGCATAGAAATACCTGGTTTAGTGTTGCTCACACTGACAGGTGTAAGAAACTTATTTTCACCGTCAAACAGAGGAGCTGCAGAAGAACAAGCACTGGCAGAACTTACTGTGAACTAACGGAGTGAATTAACTAAGTTCCCTCAGGAAGAAGTCTTCGTCACTGTGTGACCTTTGTAAAAGTGCAGCTCTGCACAGAGTTCGGGCCTTTTCCTGTTTGCTTTTGTTATACCGAGTTGAATCGATAACCCTGAGCTGAGTGAAGAACCTCAAGCCTTAGCTTGTTTATTAATAAGCTGAAGAACTTTAGCCGGTAGGTTCAGACTCTCCGTTTCCGACCCAAACCTGTGGGTGCGAACCTCTTACCAGGTAAAGAAGGGCGTATATTTTGAAGGAGACCTCCAGAGCCCCGCTGGTCACGTCCACCGCAGCCTGAACACACGACGGGCTCCACGTATGACCGATCTCGGAGCAGCTGTAGGCTATCTTACTGACCGCCGCCATGTTTACTCTGCTGAGGGAGCGAGGCCACGCCGACGTGCGCGGGCACGACACGAGGCCGTGCCCGACATTGGAGCGAGACGAGCGCGCGTTGCGTTTACGTGGCTCCGGAAATAAAAAGTGAGCTGGAAGAGTTGGAGCGTGTTCATTCGAAACAAAAGAGTTTTTATGATTAACAACAATAAGACAACATGAAAACAGTCAGAGTAAAAACAAATACTTTTGAAACAATTAATTTAGTTTAAATACAATTTTAATGAGTTTGCTTAAAGACATGATGGACCTTAGATTGATTAGTTGATTTAAAATAGTTTATTAATGATTTATAACTAACGATATATTTACTAATGTCATTAATGAACATTCATTTAGGTGTTTTAGTTTATTCAATGAGTTTCACATTTTTCCTTGATGTCATGAGGAGTATTATTAGAGTTTAATGCGTTAGTCTTACTTTAAATTAGTTTACTGTTGTCATTATTATTATATCCTGATGCATGCTCAATAATCCAGGTAGAAAAATCCAAAAAAGTTCAATCTGGTCCTCTGGACATTCAAAAAAACAAAAAACAAAACAAAGCTTCTAGATTTTTTTGCTTTGTTTTGTTTTTTGTTTTTTTTGAATGTCCAGAGGACCAGATTGAACTTTTTTGGATCATTATTATTGTGTTTATTTAATACTTGATACATATCATGAAATCATATTTCAGATGTGGTGACAAAAACTACGTTTTTTTATTCTTCAGACAAAGTGTTCATCCCGGCTGCTTGTGCAGCGAAACAAATAAATCCACAACAAAAGCCCCACTGTGGTTTAAATACAAGGAGTACTGATAAGTTTGATGCTAATTAAAAATAAATCCCTTTTGATTTTTGATATTTATCATCTGTCTATTAACATAATAGAATAGATTAGACTAGACTAGACTAGACTAGAATTTATTGTTATTATGGTCCAACTGAGATTTGGAGAGCATTGCTTTCATGTATTTCCAACAAATCTCAAAAGTAGTGCAAAAAGTAACAAATAATGCAGAAAGGCAATTTAAAAAACTTACCAATAATTTCGAAAAACATTTCAATTTAGATATTTTCAAGAAATACAAGACTTCTGAACTCTTCTGGTGCAGTGGTAAGTGTTTTAAGTTTATTCCTCTTACTTTTGAGGCATCTGAATCATTAAATATAAGAAGGTCAAATAGACCCTGTCCAGAGAGGGGTCAGAGGTCATTGTCATCATCCTGCTGAGACAATGGGAGCTGCTGATGTCATCTAGGAAGGGAGGGGACGATGTGTTGAGCGACGTGGACCTTTCTCTGTCCCTAACCTACAGCTATAGTTGTTTCTTAAAGAGAGGGGCATGAGTCAATTGAAAAATGTATCAAAGTTCATGTTCAATCATCCAGTTACCAAATCCAATAATGCTCAGTCAGGTCATCTGGACAGTTTCTTTTTGTAGAGACATTTTGCCCTCTATCCGGAGGGCTTCATCAGCCTGAGGAGTCCCAAGTAAACTGTTTCCCCACAAAGATGTACATGTACTTCTTGGTGGGGAAACAGTTTACTTGGGACTCCTCAGACGCCCTTCGGATTGAAGGCGAAACGTCTACAAAAAGAAACTGTCCAGATGACCTGACTGAGCATTATTGGGTGAATGAAAAATGTGATTTAAACAATAAACAAGTAAAATTTTCATTATCATTCATGTATTTGTGACTGATTTTGATGTATTTGTGTCTCTGACAGCACAACAAACTATAACACTTAAAACAAAATGGGGCAAATGTCACTTTTTGTTATTATTTAATATTATCCTGACCTATCAAGTGGAGTGATCATATTACAGCTCGATGACAGCCTTGAAACGCAGCAGCATTGAAAGACAACGGGACATTTTCCTCATCTGTATCTGAGCAATGGATCTGTGTGTTCTTGTAATAACTCATGGGCTCAGAGGGCAAAAAGCAGCAGTTAAAACAAGAGATAAGACAATCAGTAGTTGGCTCTCAGAATACATGTGAATCAGTATTCTTACTTTGTACTTACAGATGTTTGAGTTGTGATTTTTGTAGTTAGGTCTCTAAGATGAATGATTATGTTTAGTTTGTGACTTTTCCCAGTTTTGTTTCCAGTCCTTGTGAAAGGCATCATGTGTGTTTTTGTCTGTCAGATACTAAATATCTCATGAACCAGTGAACAGATATTAATGAAAGTCTCAGAAAGTAATCCCTAGTTAGTGAACCCTTTATTGCCTCTGATGTGTGTCCCATCAGTGTATGAATGTGAGCACTAATTATTCTTTGTATAGATATAGAGTGCTGTATGAATGGGTACGTGAGGGCACAGATTAGTGTAAAGCACTTTGAGTATCGTGATAAGATAGAAAGGTTCTATATACTGTAAGTACAATCCATTTACTAAGCATTCACATGGCACTTCTGTTGATACTCGGTTTCCTTCACTGGTCAATTGTGGAAAAAGTAAGAATTGATCATTTCTCCAGACGCCACTAACCAAGGGTCACCAACACCTTTCCATTCCTTTAAGAACCTATAGGTTTGTGATTGTGACAAATAACTAACAGATTTTTGTCCCCTGTCATTATATGTGTAAACTAACCACCCATTTGAGGAAACTATTTATAGCTTGTATGTTGCTAAAGGTATAGTTTAACCCCTGGCTCCACCATTGCACCTGGTCGTGGATAAAATGACTCCCTCCACAGGATCAGTCACTCTGTGCCACCTCAAACAAGAAAAACCTCAAATAAGAAACACTGTTCTTCTCCACAGTGTAACTCCTACCCACTTGAATATCTTGCACCAAAAACATGAAGGTTTACTTACATTTCCTGTTCAATTCCAGTCCAGAAAAACACTCATCTCCAAAAGTACAAATGTTTACTATTCAAACCCCTCAGAGCTGTATCATCTGTGGGATTACAGAAAACATTTGACATCATTAATGCAACTAGAAGCTACTCAAACACATTCTAGAGAGATTTGACATCTTCACAGTTAGGCAGAATTTAACTTAAGAATGTTTCATATATATATATATATATAT